TGGTTCAGGATAAGAAATGTGAAAACTCTCAGTGTTACAGAGGAGTAAGGCCTGGAACACTGTGTCCCCAGCCCTTCTGGTGTTGTTCTGGTTGTTGGTGGCCACTGCAGGCACTGTGTTCTTGAGTCTTTGTCTTCTGGCTGGTGAGCCCTGCCTTTCCTGTGGTGTCTCCAGTGAAGCTTTCTGCTCATGCTGAAAGTTCAAAGGTCACTGGCTCAGCCTCTTCCTTCATGCCTACATCTGGGAACTATGACCTCACGATGTTTGGACAGTGAACATGCCATTTCCTAATCAACGTATATTAATGTGTTATTTATTCTAGCATGGTGATTGTGTGGCCAAAGATCACACGTGGCACTGGCTTGTCTTTTGTTCTGTACACATTATTTCTCAGCACAAGCTGGAGGACAATGGGTTCTTTGATTCCACCCAAGGAAGAATGGATTTTGCCAGACTAAGCCTCGCTGAAGGCCAACCCAGGACTTCATGAATCCCCTTTTAGGGATGGGTTGTGCCTTTGAGGCTGAGAGTGGTGAGGAGAAGACTGTGCCTCTGTTTCTTTTGCTACTTCTTGCTCTGCTTCTTCTCTTCTCTGACCAGAAAGGTGGTGTTTCACTGAGGAAGGGCACATGGCAGGCCAGCCCCCTCTGACTCCCTGTTTACTTGCTTGGTTCAGAAGGAAGTGGCCGCCTCACTTGGTGAGATGCTGAAGTGAAGAAACAGATAGGTGCTCGGGAGCCCAGTTAGCAGCTGGCACAGGGAGGCTGTGACATCAGAGTGACCTGGGACCCCAAGAGGATGACTGAGATGTGAGGGAAGGTGAAGTCATGGTGTGGTCCTTTCTTAGCTTCGAGAGTCCAGTGGTCCAGCCTTTAGCTGAACTCTTGTCCTGGGATGTAATGGTCGCCGTCAGTGTTTAGGTGGCATTGGAAGGCCCCCTATGAGGGTTCCTTGGAATTTCTTGGCCACAGCCAGAGATGAAACTAGAGAAGACGAAACTAGAAAAGATGAAACTCTTGACAGTCTCCACCCAGGGGATAGGATCAACCAAGTGCTCTTGTTGGTGGCCAGACGGCAACAAGACACTGTGTATCAGACACAACTCCCTCAACTCAGAGGGGCTGGAGGAAATCCACTCCCCGGGTGTATGAGCTGCCCCGACGCTATCAGGGTGTATGTTGGCCGTGGCTCAGAGGCTCCTCTGGGAACCAGAAGCCTGAATGATGGTATTGTTCCACTCGAATACTCCCAGGAGCTGTCTGAAAGAAAAGAAGAGATAATGTTGAAATGTTAAATGTTTCCAACAAAAGCTATTAGGGGAGAATTTCCTGACTCAGCACTTGTTGACATTTTTTGAGGTTTTTCATGGACAACATAAGGTTATTCTTTTTTGTGTGTGTGGGTTTTTTTTTCTTTTTGTTTAGTTTTTTTTTTTTTAAGTTTATTGGTTTTCATTGATGAGAGAGTTGTGCAATCCAGGGGCCCGGGCATTGCCAGGAAATGCTAGTAATTATTTGGTGACCACTGATTTTTAGTACCAGAGGAGGCCTGAGCATGGTCTTTACTGCCCTGGCCTCTACTGAAGTTTGACCCACCTCTGCTAAATTTATTGGTGTGTTTTCTTGGCTGCTCCAAGTTTTGGGGGTCTTTTCCTTCCCATTCCTGTAGAGCTCTGACTTATTAACTTACATGTCATGGGGCCCTTGACTTGTGTTATGGGTTCAACTGGGACCTCCCAAAGTTTATGTGTCAAAGTCCTAATCCCTAGTACCTCAGAATGTGACTGGATGTGGAGAGAGGCTCTTTATAGAGGTAATCAAGTGAAGATAAGGTTGCTAGGGTGGCCTCTAATCCAATGTCACTGATGTTCTTATAAAAGGGGGAAATTTGGGGACAGATCTTCATGTGGGGTGAACACCACATGGAATATGAACATACAGATGCTTCTACATGCCAAGTAAGTCAAAGGCTGCACAACTCTTTGAACATCGAACATAGCACCTTGGCATTTGAGAAAACAGCAAAAGCAGAAAGTCCACTCTCACCTTCCCCTCACCCTTCTCCCCAGAAGTAGGTCATAAAATCTAGAAAGAATTTTCTGACCTTTCCCTGAGGTTGGTCATAAGACCCTCATGTGGGAAGTGACCTTTCTATACCCAGAGGAAAGGAACATCCTTATCTCAGAAGACACAGGGACACAGAGAAGAATCTGAATGAACAGGCCTTGCTGAGTTCCCCGTTTATTATCTTTGGGTCATACCCCTGTGTCCAACTCTACTCCACAACTGCTCACGTTTGCTCACTGCAAACTTAGCATAAAAATACAGATTTCCCTCTTTCTTTGGGTCTTCATTTCCAAAGCTTCCCATGCTATGTAAAACTTCCATAAGATAAAGTTGTTAGGGTTTTCTCTTGTAATCTGTCTTTTCTTATAGGGGCCTCAGCCAGGAACCTAAGATGGGAAGAAAAGATATATTTTCCCCTACAGACTTCAAGCCTCCAGTACAGTGAGATGATAAATTTCTGTTGTTTAAGCCCCCCAGTCTATGGTGCTTTGTGACAGCTGTCCTAGCAAACTAATACTATATTTGTTTTACAACTTGGAACTTCTCTATTTTGCTTTATTTTTCTGTTTATGGGTTCTCCTCCCTCTCCCTTCCCTTCACCTTCCATTGTATCATTTTGGATTGGACCGCGCTCTGGAGCCAGACTGTTTACCTCAAAGCTCTGCAGTTACTTACTAGTCATGCACATCTAACCTCCTTGTGCCTTTGTTTTCCCAACTATAACATGAGAATAATAATAGTAACACCTTCTTCTTAGAATAAAGGAAAAACTGATGTAAAACACCTAGAATAGTGCCGCCTTGAACAGCAGAAGTTCACAGTCACTGTGCACAATCCAAGTATGTAGACTTCCAGTGTGCTGAGTGCCTGCTCTGGTGCTCAGTGGTGCTACTAGTGAAGGGACAGGTTCCAGATTATTATAAGGCATTGTTCCTATTCAGCATTTCCACTCCGGGGAGTTTATAATCTAATTGGAGACATAAAACATTTGTAGGGAACAGTTCACAGTGCAAGGCATTGTGTGCTTACAGGATCACAGGATCAGTGTGCTGGCTCAGTTAAGCACTTCTTCACCTTGGCAGCACATTAGACCTTACTGGGGGGGACTTTAAAAATAGACCATCACCTGGGCCCTTTCCCTAGATCAGTTAAACAGAATTTCTGAACCTCAAGTTAGTTGGTGAACCTCTTTGTGCCTCGATTTCCTCATCTGCAAAACTAGGGCAATGCTTGTATCTACCTCCAAGGGAGGTTGCTGTGCAAATGAAATGAGTGAATGTATGGAAATGCTTGGAATAGTGACTGTCAGCCACATAGTAAACATGCAATAAATGTGAGCTCTTATTGGTGAATAAATATTGAAACATTAATGCCCAGTAGACTCTGCTCCAGCTGTTCGCTGATTCCTGGTCACTTGAAAAGCTCTAAGAATAACTTTCGCCATCATCCTTCTCATCTGAAGGCTATGGAGATTTCAGAGTGCTTAAAACCAGCGCCCTTTGTTGGGCAGCACAGGCAGATTAGGTTCTTAAGTTGTTAACTAGGTACACAAGATTTAGATACACTTCTTAGGAATACTGCGGTCAACAATTCCAAATATAGTGTCATGGAAATCAGGTAGACGTTAGCTGGCTGGCCAGTGGAGGAAAGACAATTGAGTTCTTTGGTAGATTGAGGAGGAATAGTGATCCCAGAGCACAGAGGTTTAGTATATTAATGACAGCCGGCCTCTGCTAAGTGCTAGGTCTCCACTAACACGCTACACATGGATATTCTATTTAATTCTCACACTAAATGGGTGGGTGCTGTTATGCATCCCTGCATTATGGATGAGGGCTGAAGGCACAGAGAGGTTAGATAACTTGCCTGAGGTCATACCTCTAGAAGGTGGTAGAGAAATGATTTCAATCCAGGTTATCTGTCTCCAGATCTGCTCTCTTAACCACAGGACAATCTCCTGACCCACTTGGTACTCCTGTGGCTGAATCTGTGGATGGACCACCTCAGGGTTGACTCCTTTCCTTCACCCTCTTCTCTTTGTCTATTTCCCTTCTGTTTTCATCACTTCCTCTTCACTCATTGGTGAGGGAGGGATTCCTGCCCTGGGGTCATGGGTATGGCTGAACACACAACTCCTGGCCCTGGACAGATGCGATCCACAGCATTTATTTGTCACATGTACTCACAGCACAGGGGATTAGGACACCCCTTGCCATGCAGGGACACATGGGCATTGCACTTGGGAACAGAGTGAACAAGCAGAAGGAGGCAAGCTTTGTAGTATCAAAAGAGACAGGTGGCCCCCCAGTTCCCGAGGGAGGATGTGATTGGCTTATTTGAATAATTTCCTGGGCTGGCAGGGAGCTGAAACCTGCTACTCACGTATAAGTGGGGACTGTACCCGGCCTCTTTCAACAAGAGGGATGTTTGGCTAGAGGACCTTGTCCACAAGAGCAGAGTAGGCAGGGGAACTTGCAGGTGGGCAATTGGGGGACTGCCACACTTTTCCAGATGATAAGGCAGCACATGATATTGAGCTTTGAGTTTAGGTCTTACACCACACTTTCTTCTTTTGTCTCTTTTATTCACTTTCTGAGCTTTTCTTCCCCCCATTCTCAAGCAAGGGTTTAAGGTCAAAGACAAAGACCTGGGCTCAGCTTCTGGCTGTACCACTTACCAACTGTGGAATTGCAGGTGAGGTTCTCAAAATCTCTTGGCTTCTGCTCCCTTGGCCTTATAAATCAGAAAATAAAAGTCCCTTTTTAAATGCATCTGTTTTGAGATCTAAATGGAAGTCTGAAAAGCACTTTTATCTCCATAGAAAGTGTTCAATAAATGTCAGCCATGCTCATGTAGGTGGCCCAACTCCGGGGGTGACATCTGGGGCTTAGTGGCTGGGTCTGAGAGCCCATCTCAGGATGAGGAAATGTTAGCTCTGCTAAGGTGACAGGGATAGGCCCGAGCTCCTAGAAGCTTGGCCTCAATAAGACTGTACCTGAGGCATCTTCTCTTTCTCAAGAATCTCGAGGGCTCAGGCCAGCACAGCCTGTGAACCCATGCTTTGAAAAAAACGCAGCAACAATAGCTGTTTGGGCCTACATATTCTTCCCGTATCTCCCGCTGTTGCCATGTGCCAGTACAATCAATTGTTCTGCTGTCTCATTTGGTAATTTGGAAACTGTGCTAAGGATCTATGATAACCACTTTGGCTGGAACTAATGTCCTTTCAGAGATGAGGAGGGGAAAAAAAGGAAAGCAAGATGACCTAGCCAAAGAAAGGCAATTCTCTGAATTTTGGCAGAAGCGGATTGCATCTTTGAAAGCAGGTAACTAGAAAGAGAATATCGTTCTCCTTCCTTTTATTTCCCCCCTTTATTCTCTGGGCTCATATTTCTAAGATCTTTAATTTTTAGAACTGAAACAAGAAAACAAGAAAGTGTATTAATCTTAAATGTCTCCCATTAATCACCAAGTCCAGCTCAGTGGCAAGAGATAGATGACTCACTTCCACAGTTGATTTCTTGGTAATGGTGGGTCAAGGCTTGCCCTTGCATTTCCCCTCCTGGTTTGCTAATGGAGAAAGCTTCCCCTTAGGAAGTACCCATCCTGGAGCAATTTTTCAAGGGAAAATTGCAGGCGGGAATAGCCACTGACATGCAAATATTTCTCTTAGGGTAACAAGGTGAGTTGTATAGCATAGTGATTAGAAACACAGGCTCTGCCTTTGACAGTTGTTGTAGGATTAAATTACAGAATTAAACAAAGCACATAATTCAGTGTGGGACATATTAAGTAGGTCTGCAATCAATAGTAAATATTCATGACACCCCTCCTGTGTGCCACTGTGCTGAGTACTTTACTTTTGCCGTCATTTGATCCTCATCATATTTTGTGTGACAGGTGCCATCTTTTCCCCCTGGTTTACAGATAGGGAAACCAAGATGTCATGTGACTTGCTCAAGGTCATACAGCTACTAAGTGTCGTCTGACTCTGAAGCACACGTTCCAATCACTGCAAAGGCTGCCCTCCCAGCAAACAAGGCCTGTTAATGAAACAGGCACAGTCAGCACCCCCCTGTGGGGATAGAGCCCAGGATGTTGTCATGTATGTTGTTGGGAAGTGACATACCTTCTCCTACCCCAATGACCACTGGGACCCCTGCAAGCAAATTAGTGGTGATTGAGCCATGAGGAAGTGAATCCAGCCCCTCTACTGCTTTTGCTGACCAATACCCAGGTTCTTCTCCAGAAACTTGGAATTCTACAACATCAGCAGGTAAGAGTTCTCCAGCGGGCTGCAGAATCTTAAAAAAATTGTAAAGAGATGCCTTTTCTGACCCAGACAAATTTCATCTCGTAGATGTCAGATGAGCTGCTCTGCCACTCAGCAGCTGGCCTGTCCCAAACTCCCTGTCAGTGCTGGAGTCCGGAGGAGCCAGGAGGATGTGGCCTGGGTTCCGCAGAGGGGCCTGTTCAGGGGTGGATGTCCCAGAACTTTGGGGGACGGCTTCTAGAACCTGCGGCAGGAGGTAGTGCTGAGGGACTGCTTCAAGCTCTAGGAGTGCTTTGAGCAGTTAAAAGGCAAGTTTGTTTCCATAGGTCCTACCTTCTGAGATTGCAGACGTGCCAGTGTAGAGTTTCTACACTGTGTCCCCACCTGGCAGAATCTAGAAAATCCCCATGGTGTTGGAATGACCCAATATGGCGAACCCTAAGCCAGGCTTTGGTCACCCTGCAAGCAGTTCTGTTCTTCACGCGGTTGCACGCGGGGGAGGCTGCAACAGACAGCACGTTCGGGAACACCTTCACGATGTCAGGACGCTTTTCATTGCTCATCTATCACGGAACGGCTCAGATTTGCAATGTGCTACCCGCGTTCTCCCTTTAGCACAGACAATGCGTTCTTTCAACAGCGCGGCTCCGTGCGACGGGCTCCGCTGAAAGCGAGGCGGTGGGGGCGCAGCTGCCCCCTTGGGGAGGAGGGCTGCGGGGGCAGGTGGGGACCAGATGCCTGGCCGCAGCCGAGCCGGGGGTTGAGCACATGGAACAGCCACTTCTGGTTCCACTTACTCATTTCTCTGTGCTGAAAGGTGTCATATAAATGCTAAATAGAACAGAGAGAGATGGGGCCTATCTATTTGCATTTCGTCTCATGCGAGCAGATGCGGAGAGAAAAGCAGCTTAGCCGGGCGCTCAGGTGCCCGCGAGGCCGCCGTCTTCGGGTCATTTCCATGCCGCCCGCGTCAGTTCCGCTCTGGCGCACTAGACGTGGTTTGGGGTGCGAAAGGGGTGCATGCCCTCTGTCCTCAGTGGGTTTACAAAACTTGTTTGGGGAGGGGGCAAATTTAACCACAGGAACCAGCTGACGACAATACAACCCAGCATGTGGCTCCGTGGTAAGCGTGGGAGTGGGGACAGGTCCCCATGGAGTGCTGCGGGAAGGAGGTCGTGGGAGAGGCGGGGGTGCGCAGGAAGCCTTCTTCGGGGACAAGGACTGGGCTTGCGCTGTGAAGGCTGGCCAGGGGGTAGAGAGCCGGAGATGGCGAGGGAAGATGGCCTAACAGGACCGTCACATCTGCTGTTCTTCAGCTGACAAGCTCCCCTCCCTCTGGTCTCTTTGGATGGTTGGGTGTCCCTCATCATTTAGGACTGGTCTTAAATGACTTCCAGGAGGTCTTCCTCAACTTTTCTAAGAAGCAGCCCTCCCTGCTGCATTATTTTCTATCAGAGTATCCTATGTTCCCTCCCTCCATTTAACGCAATGTGTAACTAGATACTTGCGCGTGGCAGCCTTACAGGTCGCACTTGTAACCACCAGGCAGGCAGGGGCCAGCGCATCTGTTTCATCCACTATTGTATTCGCCGACATGCACAATGCTTGGAGCCCAAGAGATGCTCAGTAAATACTTGTTGAATGAATGAGTGACATTTGAGGAAAGCCTCATTTAGCAAATGTATTTGTTGGCCAGTTGAATCCAAGTCTTGTTTTATTTTCCAGAAAGAAAACCTACAGATTCCATAGATCCGGCATGGAGCTGGATGTCTTTCAGGAGGAAGAGTTTTCATTAAAACGTACAACCACAGCAAAGCAAGAAAAAAAAATGAGCAATTGATGTAAGCATTCCAGTCAAGTCTGCATGTTAAGAAACAGAATAAAGTGAAATAACAATTTATAAACAATTGGGCCTTGCATAAACATGACTTGCTATTATGCATAATACAATGTGTGGCATTTTAGGCTTGGATCCTGTCCAGGGCGGTTTGTTACTGGAAGAAGAGGGAGAATCTTGTTAAAACACAGCTTTACGTAAAACGTGATCCCTAGACATGGACCCAGAGGCCGATGTTCCAGGGAGGTTCAAATATGGTTTTAAGTAAGAAGGTGGAGTTCTCATTTCATCTTCTGCTCAACTTCTTGTTTTGAATGAATGGGTAGCCTGGATTGTTCTCTTTTTGAAAAACAATTGTTTTGTTTGGTGGGAACCAGAAGAGACATGTCAGCTCTAATGCAGGAGAGAAACACAATTTCAAAGGTAAATTTCCTTGTGTATGCAGGTGATTGCCTTTTTATTCAAATTTTATCTGAGCCATATATAATTTTAATTATAGAATTTAGAGACTAAAAGTCAGAAATATCTTCATATTTTCTTGAATAAATAAAAATGGTCTCTCTTTTATAAAACTTCACTCGGGAACAGACAGGGGCAAAGGAGTAAAATGATGAGGATTGTGAGTTCCTAACACTGGCTCTGTGCAATTAATATTTTGGTAACCATATTTTATGCCAACTCACCGGCAGAACCAGAGAGGTGAGGTGCCGGTGAGGTTCAGCAGGTTTTAGAAATTACTCCTTCCCACTTTCCATCCCCACCTTCCACCACCAAGAAAAGTCAAATTGTCTGTGGAAAATATATTCTAATATCAAAAACAATCCTCTGATTGCACTGTGGCATCTTCTCGAAGCTGCCATGTGGGAGTGTTCTGCAGAAGTTTTAAAATTTGACAGATCAGGTACTTTATGATTTATAGGATGTGAAAAATAAAGCTGGTGGTTTGAGTTAAGCACTTTGTCAGGCTTGCCTATGATCTTCTTCTTAATATTGACTAAGAATAATGACTCATATTTGTCACCATTGTGGTTGAGTTAGAGCAATGGTCCAAAGCTGGGCTCCGTGAGCTAGCAGTTCCTGCACTGCCCCTCCTGCCCCCCCTTCCGCCCTCTGGGCTGAATCCGGATTCTGAGGCAGAGGAGAGAGAACTGCCACTGTTAAATGCAAGAGTGCTGTGAGTGATCTACTTCTTTTCTACCCTACTTTACTTCACGGTGTTGTGTGCAGGACATGGATCCATTCTCACCTTCTCTGCCTGCAGTGTGTGTAACTGTGCTAGAGGAGCCCTTTTCCCAGAGCCAGACTCTAAACCACAAATGTAATATACACAGGTGCCCAAATGCTGCAAAGTACTAAGAACTATAGATCATCATGTAGTATGGATATGATTATTTACAAAGAGCAATGTGATTTTAAAAATCGCCTCATTCCCTAAGCTCTGGAACTGGATTTTTTTCAGTCTTTTTTTTTTTTTTTTTTTTTTTTTGAGACAGAGTCTCGCTCTGTTGCCCAGGCTAGAGTGAGTGCCGTGGCGTCAGCCTAGCTCACAGCAACCTCAAACTCCTGGGCACGAGTGATCCTCCTGCCTCAGCCTCCCGAGTAGCTGGGACTACAGGCATGCGCCACCATGCCCAGCTAATTTTTTATATATATATCAGTTGGCCAATTAATTTCTTTCTATTTATAGTAGAGACGGGGTCTCGCTCTTGCTCAGGCTGGTTTTGAACTCCTGACCTTGAGCAATCCGCCCGCCTCGGCCTCCCAAGAGCTAGGATTACAGGCGTGAGCCACAGCGCCCGGCCTTTTTTCAGTCTTTTTTATATGCTTGTGTTATCAAAAACTAGGATATTTGGTCAACTTAATAAGAATGATGACTATGGATAATGTGCTGTCATTGACATTCACTCAGAAGATACCAGAGTAGATATCAGCAGTAGGAGTATCTGTGTGGATGCAGAACCCGAAACTCATTCCTTCTTGCTCACTGCCTTAGAATTTGTTCTTCCTTTTGCTGCAGAGGAATGCACTCCAAACAGCCAGATCCCTCAGCTGTACAAGTGGAATCTCCAGCTTGGAAACCAAAGAGACCATATGCCTTCTAACCTACCTTCTTGAAGAACTCCCAGGCACTTACCAAACTATTAGAATTAGAATTAAAGAATTAATAAATCAATTAATAATTAATTAAAGAATTAGAAACACCCCAAGTGTCTAGTCAGTATAGAACAGGAGTGACTTTCAAAATATTTAGCAATAAAATAAGGTACAAGCACCAACCAATCAGAACATATGCTGGTCACAGAGCTGGACAGGGTTCTGACACAGGGGCAGAGTGTTATTATAATAATATAATAATGATTTAATAATAGATATGGCTGTACTGGTGAGGATGCCTGAGGATTAGGCCTGGGTAATAGAGAACAAAAGCCAAAGGGAGGGAATCTGAATTCAAATCCTCTGGGGTTGAATTCTAGCTCTGTTGCTTAAAAGCTATGTAACCTGGGGCTAATTCCTAATTCCCTCTTGCTTTGTTTTCCTTATCATGTACAACAAGGATTATAACAATCCCTTCCTCATAAGACTTGTTATGAATATTGAGATAATATATAAAAAGCTTTTTGAATACTTCCTGGCACATAGTAAGCACTCAATATACATAGTAGGAAAATAGAAATGGATAAATAAGATGTACTAATGTACTATAATCTTATTGTAGAACACTACATAGCAATTAGAACAAATGAACTATTAATGTACACATTGACCTGCATAACGTTCAAAAAACATATTGAGTGCAAAAAAGCTGCAAAAAGAAAAAATTGTATTATTTATGGATGCACATGGGAAATTAAAGGAGACAAATATGGACTAGGAAGACACCCATCAAATTCATGATATTGACTATCTCTGGAGAGTAAGGGGAATATGGTTCGGGAGGGGTACAAAATGAATTTCAACTTTCTTAGTAATTTTTTTAATCTGAAAGAAAAAAGTTCTGAAGCAAAATGATAAAAACATCATCATCTGTTAATTCTGAGTAGTGGCTAGATATTTTTAATATTCTCTGAACTTTTCTGTACCTTTAATTTATTTTAAAAAATAGAAAGAAAAAGAGAGAGAGGGGAAGGAAGGAAGAGTCAGGCCAGGTATCAGGAGATCTAAGTGCTAGTACCAGTTTTGCCTCTAATTAGCTATGTGACTTGGAGCCAATCACTTAAACTTTTCTGGACTTCACTTTCCTCCTCTTGAAAGTCAAGTTAAGAATAATATTTACCTCAAGGGGGTGTTTTTGAGAATTAAATGAGATTGGGGGGAAGTTCTATAAATGTTAAAGTTCTATTCAAATGTCAGTTAAAATAAAATTGGGTTGCTGGATTAATAATTCCCAAGACTTCTCTAGCTCTAGTGGCATGTGGCTAGGAGAGATACTTTGGAGAAGAAGCAGGGTAATGTATATAAAGTCACCTTGCTTGTAGCAGAGACTGCTAGATGCCTACTCAGTGTAGAGTCTCCCTTGCTTCCTCAGTGACAGAGCTCTAATTTTATTCTGGGTGCTGATGTGCCTAGATAAAGAGATATATTTCCTAACTTCCTTTAAGTAGGAGTTGTTACAGGGTTTCCAGAAATCTTCAAGAATTTGCCTCAGCTGGGAGAGCTACCCTTCTTGCTTTCTCCTACTTCCTTTCTCTCTCTTAGAAAGCAGAGATGATGGCTGGCATTCCAACAGCCATCTTGGGCCATGAGGCGACCTTGAGGATGTAAGCCATGTGCAAAGTATGATGGAGAAGAAAGATGAAAAGCGTCTGGGTCCCTGATGGCTGTGGAACTGCCTGGGGGTGACTACCTCAGGTCCCCTTTTATGTGAGGAAAAATAAACTTGTATATCAAGTCATTTATTTGGGCTACTGTTACGTGCAGCTGCACTGAATCCCAACTGACACATTTTTGTTATTCTGAAGATGCTTATTCTCTTCCTATGTGTTTTGATGAGGTAAATTAGTAAAGATGAAAATTATGGTAATGGCACCTTTTCCTCTGCTAGCCATGGAAGAAGTAAGTACTCAATTGCTCTGTCTCTCTTCCTTACTCACCTGTTTTGTTGCTATGAAGGCTATCAAGGACATGCCTCAGGAAGCTCAGAGAAGGCTCTGCTGTGTACCAAGCCCAGGGCCCTGGGCTGTCCTTAGCTACCACAGCACCACTTCTGTTCTGTGGTGAGAGGGCGGAGCCCTTCCCTGTGTAATCTGGGATGGCCAGAGTTGAACTTGTGGCCCCTGGTCATACTCAAACAGAAGGACACAAAATAGCTTTCCATGGAAGTGGAGAGAAGAGAGAACGTGATTACAGGTTCATTTTTGCCAAATCTTGCACTTACTATGTGATCCAAAGCTTTCTGTGGTCTGATTCTGGAGATTGCAGAATCTTTTGTAGGGAAGATATTCTACTGGTTATAAATGAATGCTAATCCATACTAACCAGTAAGCAAGACCTCACTGGCCCCACAGTCAAGCTCTGGCCACATGGAGAGCTAGATGACCATTTTAATGTAGTAGGAAGAAGAAAGAGAGACATAAGATGTTCCCCATAAGCTTTAGTAGTAAAGAGGACAGAAAAGGAGTCCATGAGCCCTTTGGAGCCATGTGTAATATGCAAGGTCCCAAATGAAAAATTCTCCAGAACTAAATATGATAGCTCTAGCAATCTTCACCCAAGATACAGATAGATATTGTGAACAAAGTAGGTTTAAAAGGGAATAAAAAAGAAGAAAACAGAGAAAGACAGAAAAATCGAGACAGACAGAAAAATCAAGACAGAGAAAGGAAAGGGAATACAAAGAAGAGGAAAAAAGGAAGAAAAGAAAGAAAAAGCAAGCTCAGAAACCATCGCATGAAACTTTACCTTCTTGAGCCAGGTGAAAGCCCTTTCTTGGCACTGGGTTGGTGTTCAAGGGGTGGTCGCTTGAATTCAGGAATGAGTCCAGGAGAGGTGGGCTTGTTCTCCTTAGAGCAGTGGGACCCTTCGTGTGTCTTCCTGCCCTTGTGCACAGTCAGGACACTCTGGGCTGTCTCCTGTGGGGCTCACCTTCAGGAGGTAACTGGAACCCCATACCTAAGCAGCTTCATCTGGGTTCTAATCCTGATTCTGCCACTTATGAGAATAGGCCATTGGGTAAGTCACTTCTTACAGTCTGCTTTTCTGCATTCCCAAACCCTTCTGGAGGAGTTGTTAGGGAGGAAGAGTCGTTGTTAATGAGAATGCTTGGCAGGGGCCTGGACGCAGAGAAGCGCATCAGTAAGTAAGAGTGTGCCTGGTACCTTCCCTCTTTCTTACTCTGTCAGGTGTTACTGGAGGCGTCTGGCTGTCCCTGCTGAGACCCTCCCTAGGCGAGAGTAGCAGGCAGAAGCCTTCCAGGGCCCGGGCAGTAGAGAGGTCTGCTCCATGCCAGCAACAGGGGTGCAAATCTGCAAAGAGTTTAAAAACAATGGTAAACCAACTGAAATGAGATCTGCTTCTTATTAGCACCATGTGCCCTCAATTTTAAGTAACGTCATGATAAAATACTTTTCCCTGAAAAAAAATTGTAGTAATCTAAATGTTAAATGATAGCTGTGGTTACTATTGAGTTTTAATGCTATGTATCAGTTTTAAGTCAGCATATTTTTATTATTTATCCTTTAATATTTTATAGGGAGGTTAATCTAGAAACTCCCTGGTTATATGGGAATAAGTTCTTATTTGAAGAGTCGGTTTGTTCATAATTGGCTTAGAATCACTGGAGCTTGCGCCTGCCATTTGCTTCTTCAGACCCTGTTGCACTGCACACTCCTGCATTTAAACAGAATGGAAATAAACAACGATCCCAAAAGACAAAAGAGACAAAATTGGAA